CCGCCAGACTCGGGTAACTCTAGACGTGCGGACAATCCTCGTCGGCCACATGGTCCCCGGGGAACCACGGCCACGCAGACCTCCGTCGAACATTCGCCGACTGATGACCGCGTGTTTACGTTCCTCTCTAAGGAGGAAGCTGTTCCCTCTTTCGAGACTCCAGGCTCTCGCAATCAATCATTTTTTTTCTCCGCCATTCAAGAGCCATCGTCATCGATCGACCGGTTGATACGTTCGCGGTGAAATTCGACTTTCTTCCTCGTCCCCGTGTGTTCATCCTTTCTTTTCTTTTTTCTTTTTTTTTTTTTTTTTGAACAGCTAACTGAATTGCAATTGATTATAATGCGGAATTAGTGATACAGTATCGTGTTCCAAACTGAAGCGATTGGAGTAATTTGTAAGATAGGGGAATTTATAAACATGATACTAATAAGGCTCCTTCAAGTTTGCACGGTACATATATATATGAGATGACAAAGTATCGTGCGTGGTAATATACGTACGTGACAAATATTATGTATGATATTATTTTGTGTATATGAAACGTAAGAATATTATATGTGATGGAATATTGTATATATGAAATGGAAAAATATTATGCATGCTAATATATTGTGTACATGAATTGAAAAAATACTATATATTATATCATATTGTGTATATGAAGTAAAAAAATACTATATGCGATATATTGTGTATATGAAATGAAAAAATATTATACATGATAACGTATCGTATTTGTGAAATGAAAAAACACTACATATGATAATATATCGTATACATGAATTGAAAAATATTATGTATGATATTATTTTGTGTATATGAAACGTAAGAATATTATATGTGATGGTATACTGATGGTATATATGAAATGAAAAAATGCCATATGTCATATTATATTATATTGTGTATATGAAATGCAAAAATATTATACACGATAATATATCGTATATATGAAATGAAAAAACACTACATATGATAATATATCGTATACATGAATTGAAAAATATTATGTATGATATTACATTGTGCATACGAAATGCAAAAATATTATACATGATAGAACATCGCATATACGAAATAAAAAATATTATACGTGTAATATAACGTATATATGAAATGAAAAATATTATACGTGATAATATAACGTATACATGAAATGTAAAAATATTATACATGATAATATATCATATATATGAAATGAAAAATATTACACATGGCAATATATCGCATATACAAAATGAAAAAAAATATTACACATGGTGATATATCATATATATGAAGTGACAAAAATGTCGGCTAT